CCCCTCCCTTTGGCCACATTCTTCCATGGATCATGTTCTTCCTCTCCCAGTGATCTGTTCTCTTGGCCTCTTATTCAGTACCAGTACTGTTTTTCTTTTCATCCATTATATTTTCAAATCCATCATCTCCAGCTGCAGCTCTAGTTCTTGGATCTTATCTTTTATGGCCTCCTACCATAGCAAGAGCTTCCATCAGAGATCCACCACTGGTAATATTGACTCATTTTCTCCTCTTCTTCCCTCTGGGTTGAATCCAGTGCTATCTCAGTAGCTATCACAGTCTTTTTCTTCCTAGTACCTAGCCTTACAGAAACAATGGTGGAAATCAACTGCAGCTTCTAGCCATTGCATCCTTGATCCAGATCAGCCATCTCTCCTGCTTGATGTTCCACAGTTCCCCTTCAGCAATGATCAAAGGCAGCATGTCCGCAGAAAGTGTTTAGCTGGAAAAACTCTGTTTCAATTGCCATGTGTGGTCCAAAGTATGAAACCTGTGAGTTGGAAGCTCCACAAAACCCACTTCTTCATTTGCTGACTTGAGACCAGAAGTACAGATTTTGATGCCATCAACCTTTAATTTCCATAGACCTACAAATGACCAGATGCCATGCCTGTTCTAAGTCTGATTTTAGCCTTGGGTTACTTCAGGCTGCATTTTTCCACCTAGTGACTGGAAAATTCAGCAGGTTTTTCATACACTTCAAGCTGCTCCACCAGCCTCACACAGGGCCTCAATTTGGGACACTGGCTCTGCATAAAGAAGTTTTCCCTTTCACTTTTTTAGTCTGGCTTCCCTGCAAGACCCTTGGAAAGTGCTAAGAGTGAAAAGCAAAGCACCAATGGGAGGGATCATGGGTGCCTGGATTTCAACTTCCCACTGTTGCCAGTGGAGCATGCAGCAGGTTTTTTACAATATTGTTTCACTGGTAGAATTTTTATTTCATTTTCATTATCAGCTTTTAGCAGTCCATCCTTTAAGCCCATAATTGTACCGTTGACTTCAGGCTTAGGTCTCCAAAATGTCCTCAGGTGAAAGGTTTATTAGTTTTTTAAAGGACTGTGAATTTCAACAGCACAACTCCCAGGAAGAAGCCTTTCAGAACATGTTCCTGGTCTGTTTATACTATAAGGCTTTTGACAGCACAGTGCTGCTGGGGTAGCTAAACCAGTCAAATCCTCTACAGCTGAATCAGCCATATGGTATGAAAGTGCTAAAGCCAGTTTCAGGAGCCAGCTTCTATTACATAGATATATCTTAGCTATGTTGATATACCCACACCTATTCTAAGGGCAAGCTAAGAATTTACTTCCATCTTTCTGTATTATAGTTCTCAGTGCATTTTGCTCTAGTCATTATAGAAATTATTTCAGTTTGCCTTCTAAATGGTTTAACTTAGATTGCGGGGGAAGAAATAACCACCCACAATTCTGTATGGATCAAACTCTGTTAAACCCTAATAGAAACTTCCTGAACGCCCTGAAAACATTCTGGAATAGGAAGAAAATCTTTCAGGGTTGCCATATCGTATTCTCAGTGCTTGAAGTGGGATCACATTTTTAAGATGGGTATATTGTCACTTTAGGGACATGGACTGTGGCATCCCTGCAAGGCACTCCTAGGCTACTCCTGACAGAGCAGCATGGATTAGGAGTCAGTATCACCCTCACAGCAAGATCACAACACCAGCTGGGAGCTTGGCAAGAGTTGTGATACTGGTTACTCTGAGAAGCCAGACGAATGAAGGCTACTCCAGTTCAGCAGCCCTTGCCATTCACTCTGCTACTCCATAGGACTCAGAGTAGCTGACCTCCTCTTGGGATGATCACATCACCACAACTGAGGTGTCACCATGCTGTGTAATTACTGACCGTGGCATAGCACTTCAAACACTGGAGAGAGACATTTCTGTCACTTTCCAACTAAATGAATAATTGATGCACCAAAGATCCCCGCCACCAAATTAGGTCAAGCCTCCCAAAATCATTATTCAATTTTAAGTATGTAGGCTTCAATTTCAATTAGCTATTATTAACTTTCATATAAATTATATATAATATACCATTTATATGTATATAACTAGAAAATATATAAATTATAATTCTATAGCATTATCATTAAAATAACAAAAAATAGTGAAATGTGTTTCACTATAGTGCTTTAGTAACATTTTGAAAGAATCCTCAATTTCTCTGCCTTTCAGATTTGAAGATTGTACCTAACCTCTGCACCACTCAGAATTCTTTGAAAAGTCACACAGTGTTTCTACTTATTTCGTTCTTTTATCCCTCACATGCTAAGAAAAGATGAGACACAAACATTATAATGCACAAAAAAGAAAGCCACAAATGTCACTTGGAAATCAGGTTTGAAGACAAGATTATGGCTTCACACTGTTTTGTATTCCCATATAATGTACAGCAAAATGGAAATCCTGTTTTGGAAATACAGTTCCTAGCAAAAACTAATTTTTGCATTTCTTAGGGTTGTTACTTGCCAACTGAAACAACAGGCTCTACAGCCAGCATGACTTGCTAAATTTCACCTGACTTGCATTACAGATGCATCAACCACAACTGTGAGCAGGCTTCTTCCAGCACAATGAAACATACCTGTAACTCTAGAGAGGTTAACTTTCTTCCCTTCTTCTCCTCTTCTCTCTTTGCTGTCTGAGCTTTTGTTTTTTCTTTCTCTTTTGACCTTTCCATTTTTTGAAGCTCCTCCACATAGGCATCATAGATCTCCCACTGAGAGACAGACAGAGGCAGGATTTATCAGGACCTGATTACACTCCAGAAAACAGCAATCTACACCATGACAAAAATATGATAGTCCTCACAACAGTAACATTGCCACTGGAATTAGCTGAAGACAGCTGGCTTGTTGCACAAAAAGTGAAGGATTGAAGCCCAGGATTTTTAAAGCTCGATGGAACATGTCTTACTTTTTAAGAACACATTACTGGATTCTTAACAATTTCCTTCCTCCAACACTCTTCTTGGTGCTTTGACTCACTTTCTGTTTGGCTAATTTACCAGTGTTTAATAGGAAACATGCATTAAACATCTGTTTTATGACATTTCTCATGTGGTGTTGGAAAATTAAATTGTAGCTGCTTAACACAATTTAAATCTTGGACTCCAACTCTGCAGCATATGATCAAAATGGAAACTGAGAGCAGTTTTACATCTTCTGCTATGCCACATGCCAGAAATGTCTTACCTGAGTAGATCCAAAAGTAATTTTTCTACTTAAGAATTATTCATTAGTATTGGAGTGCTAGTACTGTATCTGAAGCAGGTACATTACTTTCAGAACAAAACAAAAGGCAATCTAATTCTCACACATCATCTTAGGAGAGGGAGTATGATTCAAACACAAAATATAAAGTAGAACATTGGAATAAAGAAAGGTAGCAGAAAACTTCAGCAAAAAAAGTGCATTGTGTTGTAAATTTGCAGGTGGAAATGAGGTGCAAAGATGTTCCAAACATCAGGGAAAGGACAAAGAAGATGTGATGAGAAGAGTAGGAGAAGGAGCAGAACAGAAAACTTTGGAAGAGGAAATTATGAGCATAAGGAAGAACAAGAAAGAGAAAGAGTTGAGGGAAAAAAGAGCTTATGTTAAAATACTGTTTTATATCCACTCCAATTTTCAACAGAATAAAAAGAAAACAAGGGAAAACTTTTGCTCTTAGTTTTCAGACATTTAATGCAAAATTTTAGCAACAGCCTGATTATCTTAAATAGCTCTGTTGTCTCTCTCAAATCATCTCTCTGCTGGAAAAAATGAAAGCGAAGTCCAGCTGGAGGGAGGAAACATCTCAGGCCAATTAGTCTGTGATTTCGTTACAGGTTTCAGCTTGACAGAGACACCTTCACTCCCTGCCTATCACTTTCCTATAACAGCATTTTTTAAGTTGCTGCCATTACCTTACACTTTCTTCTGGGTGTTCCTGTGGTACACTGGTAACAAAACAGTATTTTCAGTATCAGTTTGGTACACTGGTTTGAAACAATATTTGCATCAGTGACAAACGCAAATACATTTTGTAAATATCTGTGATCAGCAGAACTGGCTGGATTCCCTTTCCAAGGACATCTATAGCATATTTCATGTGTAAAATATCATGCGAAATATTTTTTTTTTTACATTTTTAAGAGATGGAGAAAATACTGTGTAACAATTGTGGAACAGTTCCTCCTCATGAATAAACAGGCACATTTGCAGTACATAAACCAGAGCTGAATCTATTGCAACAGGCTTAAAGCAGGTCTTCCATGCTCCTTCTGCTGTAGTTCTCATTGGGTTCAGCTTCAGGCGTTAGAAACCTGCTTTCGCATACAGCTAAACTTACACAAAGTAAAAGACACAGTGTTGCATATATCAAATTCTTAACAACGCTCCCAAAAACTCCATGAACCCTTGTAAATTCCTGGCTGTGCAAAATCTTCAGAGGTGTCCACTCTCTAAACACGGTGCTCAAAGTGGAGCTAGCGTGCAGACATGTCCTAAGTGCTTTTTCATTATTTTGCTCCTGCATTTTGAGACGCCATTGAACCTCCCTCTGATGTGATCAGCTGATGGAGGTGTCCTGCAGCTGACCAGGTATTGAATGCTGGATCACAGCTCTTCCTAAATAACCAGCTCACCCATCACACAGTGATGGAAGATCTTCAGCAACAGGACAGTCCCCACCCCGAAGACAGCCAGCTCCACAGAAGAGTCAGTCCCTACAAGAGGCAGTTGCAGTATGCTGGATCACAGCTCTTCCTAAATAACCAGCTCACCCATCACACAGTGATGGAAGATCTTCAGCAACAGGACAGTCCCCACCCCGAAGACAGCCAGGTCCCCAGAAGAGTCAGTGCCTGCAAGAGGCAGTTGCAGTTGTGTCCCTGTTCCTGCAGAGCTCAGCTGCAGCCCACCTCTTGCTAAGTCCAGAACCATTCTCACACTGTGGTGTCCCCATTTCCACTCATTTAAGACTCTCTAAAGCAGACTGGCCAGGGTGGCTGGCAAGTGGTAGATCAATTAAAAGCAGCTAAACAGAGACATTTGACCTTAGAAATACAAACCATTAGCAAGTTCACCCATTAAGGCAGAAAAGAGGGCCACACTAGTTTGCTCTCAGATTTAAACCAGAGATCAAAGCCACAGTATGGGAGTTCATTCCACTGCAAGGAATGCAAACATAGCAATTTGGTTTTTCCTTTCTTATATCTCAGTTTCCTAAATATACTCTAAAATAACTTTAAAAGTAAAAAGGATATACCTGGTTAGCAGTGGCTGAGAAATTTTTACAAGGTGTAGGCTCTGATTGACATGCTTTTTCCTGAATAAAGAAAAAGCATAAAGAAGTGTAATCTTTGCATTGAAACTCTTTGCAGTGACATAGTCCAGCTGTGGAAACAGCCTTCTCATAGCAGGTAGTTAGAATAATATTGACCTGAGATTAATTCAACATCCAAATGGCTCCCAGAGCACTGCACAAACATTCTCAGTGATCATGCAACTACAAACAGATTTTCTTGTGGACCCAAAGAATGTTCACAAGACCTTCCGATTTTTTTCCAACATACTTAAAATACTTAATTTCAGTATTTCATTTTGAAGGAGTTGAAATGGTTTGTTTCACCTCTACCATTTGAAACATTCTGCTACCAGTTATGGTTATCAGTTATGATATCACAGAATCATAGAATGGTTTGGGTTGGAAGGGACCTTAAAGATCATCTGGTTCCACCCCCGCTGCCATGGGCAGGGACACCTTCCACTAGACCAGGTTGCTCAAAGCCCCATCCAACCTGGCCTTGAACTCTTCCAGGGATGGGGCAGCCACAGCTTCACTGGGCAACCTGTTCCAGTGCCTCACCACCCTCAGAGTGAAGAACTTCTTCCTTATATCTAACCTAAATCTACCCTCTTTCAGTTTAAAGCCATTACCCTTTGTCCTATCACCACCTGCCCTTGTAAAAAATGCCTCTCCAGCTTTCTCGTAGGCCTTCAGCTACTGGAAGGCTGCTATAAGGTCTCCCTGGAGCCTTCTCTTCTCCAGGCTGAAAAACCCCAACTCTCTCAGCCTGTCTTCATAGGAGAGGTGCTCCAGCCCTCTGATCATCTTCATGGCCCTCCTCTGAACTCACTCCAACAAATTTGAAATCCTGCCAAATTTGAAAAGTTTTCACCTATATATTAAAAACCCACTTGGGTACAGTAGTCAAAACAAAAGAGTTGAACAGAATGCTAACCTGTGAACAATTCATTTGATGTTACTGAAATAATATTTTTATCACCCTTATATCAAAATTCTGAAATAAATGAATATATTTCTGTGAAACCTTCATTTCATGGAACAGCGTTTTCTTTCAAAAAAAATGTTGTGTCAGGACATTTTTAAGAAGCTGCCTGTAGCATTTCACTGACCTCTGAAATGAGGCAGTCTCAGAGGTGGAAACTGCACATCCTGTATAGCAAGCAGCAGTACTTCACAGCCACTTAAAGTCTTTATTCTGCTTTCAAAGGCAGAATCACAGAAGCAAAGGAGCC